GTGTATGATATAACTCATATGACATAGGATTACATTATATTGAACTTGTGTCTACCACAGGTGACAAGTATGATTCAGTCACTGGCGTTTTACTAATTTCACTGAGTCTTTAGTACGTTTTTACTGTGTCAGTGAATAATACACTTTTAAAAACCTTTTTCTTCTTCTATACATACTCTTGCTGTATCACTATCAGATTTAAGCAAATTAGACTAATAGTCTTATAATTCTTAATAATATAGTGTTTGTGATTCTTTAATTTTAGCCACAGGGTTCAGTCCAACTTCAAAGAAAGCTTTCATTTCATCAATAATTACGACTCATGAAAGAAGTATCCCATATTATCTTCATCGTTCAGTTTAAACATCAAGCCTGTAACTAGTTATTATATTGATTAAATACTTTAGAATAGATGAAGTATCACACTACTACCGAAACACGTGATTGTAAACTGATGTTAGACTAAGAGCATTTCCGTTGCCTTCAGTAGAACTGAATTGTAATTAAGCGAAATAAATAGACAGTAATCACAAGTATTGATTTCTTTATTTTTATTCAACAAGTGCTTAAATGAAGGTTAGAATCTTTTTAAAACTTTTCCTCTCTAACATTATGAATTATATTCGCCAGACATTCTTATATCCCTTCTAATACGTTTCAAAAAGACAAGCCATATGTCTTTAGGGACATAGTCTCAAAAGGGTTTCTGAAAAAATCCATAAAAACTAACTCATATGAATACTTCTCTTTCACTGACTTTACTTACTTTGAATCTTTTTTGTCATATGCCATCTTAAAGGTGATAACCACAGCAGCCACATGACAATGTTACGTGTCAGTTGATCCACGATGGGAAACTCAGAGAGGCCTTTGAAGTGAATACAGGAGTAAGGCATAGCTAACTACTATTGTGGTGAGAGCAGGCCGTGAGAAAATATGAGCAAGGCTGATTCAACAGCCAATCACAGCAGACTTAACGTGGCAAAATATGATTCGCAGATAGAGAACTCTATTTTTCGAGGAATCCCTAAGCAACCAATCAAAAGCCTGCGTTTGCCTGCTTAACTTCTGGTAAACAACCAATCAGATGACTGCGCTTGTCTACTTGCATAAGCTATAATAATATATGTGAAATATATATAAATACGTGTTGATTTTCATAATAAAACGATCTGTTGCCTGGCCCTTGTCTTCTGTTGTTACACTATCACTGATGATATTCTTAATTGTGATGGACTTAATTATACTGTAGACTGTGTGTGTGTGGGTAGTGAGACGACAAGAGTACGTTGGACTGATAGATAAGACGACTCTGGAATATCTGAATTTTGCAAATGACTTATATTTAATTTCACACAAACTCGAGGACTTACAGACGGAAACAAACAAAGTGGCTGAAGAGGCTGGAGACGAATATGTGACGCCAGGTGAACATACAGAATAAGGAGATGATGAAGATAACCAACTACCATCAACAGTAACAACAACCAGCATCAATCACTATCAATGGAATAAATTCGAAAGACATCACTTCCTTCACTTATCTGGGAGCCACGGTTTCAAACACAGGGAGCCGGAACGGTTGAAGATGTCAAAGCCAACTAGAATCGGAAAGGTAACATGCAAATTCATCAACATGAAACAAGTTTGGAAATCTCCTACACTCAGCCAGAATAAACGGCAAGATTCGGATTTCAAGCACAAATGTTGAGTCAGTCAGTTATCCTATATTAGTCAGAAATTAGACACCCGCGTCATGGATAGCATTTCCGTGTGGCTGCTGTAGACGTTTATCAACAGCTGCCTTCACTGGCTGCATACTGACGATCAGATAGTGGGCGAGAAAGAACTGGCTATAAGAAAGTATGCGAAAAAACTAGCCAACAACCTATTGCTCAAAAAATATTAAGGCGAAAATGGAGATAGATCGAGCACACTGTGAGTGGACCGCTGAATGCGGCACATGGTGGGCAAATGGATGGAACGGGAATGGGGATTGATTCGTCTGAGGTTGACATGGAGGAGATCGTGTGAAGAGGAGATGAGGGATTTCTGGCAGTGATGTGCTCAGCTAAAGAGGAGAGCAGAAAATAGAACGAAGTAGTGTATTGTTGAAGCTCTATGTTCCTTTCGTAAACCAAGGGAAAATTAACAATAATAAACTAATAATTTCCATTGGTTTTGTTTAAACAGAATAAAAGAATTACAATTCAGAGTGAGATTAGAAAGGTTGTAAAATATATTGGTAACTTTAAGACAAATTATGGTATGAAATAAAATTCCGAGGAAGTAAAATGTAAAAGCGTCAGTGGCACAGCGGTTAGGACGCTCGCCAACCATGTATATGGTCCGGGGTTCGATCCCCGGCCGACACACTCCTTTACCTCGCTAGGCAAGTAATAAAAAAGCTAGAGAAGAGGAAAGGTTGGGCATGAGGCTATCAACCCCATCCTGTAAAAATAAACAACACTGCTACATAGACTTCAAGCCTCTAGCTTGAAGCCCTATGTTCCACCGGGAATCTGAAGGACCATGTACATGGTCCGGGGTTCGATACCCTGCCGACGGACACCTGATATCTATGGTCGGCCTGCAAAATTTGGGCTACCGATATCGCATGCTGAAAATTCCATATCTGTACCGAAAAATACGGTGTGGAATCAAGCTGTAATCTAAAAACAAAATGTGAAAGTTATTACTTCATACTTTCTTACGCCTACCTTTGGTTTGGTTAACCCATTTCACGGCTACGTGAACACTTCTGTTATGTCTAGCCTTAGAGAATATATATCATCTAGCTATGTAATAATATCTGTTTCTTTGTTTTCTATATATATTTTGTGTAATTTGTTTTCGATTTATTCGTCATACTGTTCTAAAATTAACTAGTTATTCAGTAAAAAACAGATTTGTGTTCTATTTTTCCATTACATTTACCAATGCTTCAGATTCATGCACATATGTTTTTTTTGGTATTGTTACTACATTTAACAAAGATTGACTTTGGTGATTATCATCCGCATTTCTTTGTAAATATTTACTCCCGGCAAACTACACATTCACGATGAAGGAAGACACTTTAGCTTGAGTGAAGTTATTACAAGCATTATGTTTAAAAATTATCAAACGGATACATCACATGTATGGCATAAAAAACAGTTTCAAAAAGTTCTTGTAATAAACAGACATGACTTCTTTTGTTAAAATAAAATAAGTGGATACATTACCGTTAACAAACAATATTTACTGTGTAGATTTAACATCTAGAAATGTCACTGGATTTTGACAACATATTTATAAATTTAAAGTGTAAAAAATGAGGATTTGTAGTTTAGGCGAGTATTTTGAATGTAATTGTGTTCTCCAAACTGTCTGATTTAATCACAAAGTTTCCATTGTCGTGCTAGAAAATATGTGAAGTCACACTAGGGAAAATTATGGAGACGTTCTGCATAGGGAAAATACAAACCTGTCAATTAAACCACCTACCTCAGAAACCACAACTACATCAAAAAAGTTAGGCAGCTTTTAAGTACTATTAAACTAATATATTTATCGAAAATAAGAATTTATTATTTCCATATAAACATCAATATTGTATCAAACCTATTTTTCTCTCTCTTATGCGTAATAGAATTTAGAATAAGGTTGATGTTTCGCAACATATGCCTCGAAGTACTACTGGATTAACTTGCATTAACACAGGTTTTTAAACTAGAAATTAAAAATTGATTAGTGAGCAGAATAGCATCGCCTAGAATCTAGATTTTGGTAATTTACGGATATAGTAGATTTCAGCGTAATTGAAAATACGACTTGTGCTACTTGCAGAGTTTTGTTTTATTCATTAGCAATTCATGGAGTCAGCTTATTATTATTATTGTATCCTTTAGTTCCTAGAGGAACATAGGGCTTCAGCTGCGCACCTCCATTTCCTTCGGTTTTCTGACAACTTTTTCACCCTGCTCCAGGTCTGCCCACATGCTTTCATCTCCTCCTCGCATGACCTCCTCCAAGTCACCCTCGAACTGACGACCAACTCGCCGCCTCCCTTTCCGGTTCCACTCGAGCAATGGCTTGTCTAGTGATGTTACTTGATGGTTTCCTCAGCGTATGGCCAATCCATCTCCATTTCTTTCTGCCTATTTGTTTCACAATCGGTTCCTGTTGGGTTGGTTCGCTCATTGCCAGAGATCCCTGTTGCTGATCTTTTCTGGCCATCTGATCTTGAGTATTGAGCGGAGACAGCTGTTAATGAAGGTTTGAAGTTTGTTTGAGATGCTTAAGTTTGTTTGAAATACGACACTGTATTACTTCAACAAGTACAGATGTTCTTTTGGTTGTATTAGTGTCTTATAAGGTGATGTGACACATGAATAAAGTATACGTCTGGCATTAGATGGTGGGAGGCAATCGTCAGGAACCCTTGAACCTTGCTGATGAGTGCCAACTAACACGAAATCTAGGTCCAAAGATACCTGCCGATTGCCTCCAACCATCTAATACTAACAGTTTACAGTAAACCGTGAGGGCGAGCCACCTAGCATGTTGGCCACATTGCAAACTTGACTGATAGAATTCAGTCTGCACCAAGCGAAGAACTAGACACATTACGCAAGTTTATGACCAGTGTCCAATCAAAACCATAGGTTTAGATATCTTAAAATCGGTGACACACACTTCACACTTTAAATTACTGAGAGCTTACACCGCTGAACAGTTGGTTAGTGAAAACATTTGCGTGACAGTGCTGCATATATAGTAAAATAATTCATTATAACCGCTTTTAACTTACATCGTAATTTCTAAAAGCTTTTTGATCACTGGTTTCGCACGAATGGTATCTCAGTATCTTTGAGTCACGTAGTTCAATAACCAATCTTATCTGAGTATTTCTAGGTCGCTAAAACATCGGAGATATCTTTTATGTACGTGTATTTACAGAGTTATTTTTTATTTATCAGTGCACTTTCAATTTAACCTCAATACTTCCCATCCAGGTAATGGAAGAGAACCAACCTAATTCAACGGTTGGTAGGATAGTAGCTACCGACAAAGATGCTGATCAAAATGGTAAAGTGAATTACAGAATAGAATGGTCAAATTTGTATAAACACTATGAAAATGTATTTACCCTAACTGAAGACGGGAAATTAATTGCAACACAAAGTTTGGATAGAGAACGTGTTCCGAATGGATACCATTTTACAGTGAGTTAAACTGCTTTCTTCTGTATTACATGTGTGTCTGACTTTGCCACGGATGTAAGAAATTTATCTTTATGAATTTATCAATAAAAGCTTATGTTTAACTTTCAAGTATTGGTAGGGATTTTTTGTTGTTTGCTCGATTGTTTGGAGTATTTCATCATGAGCTGACATCACTTAGAGAACCATTGGAAAACGTGAAGGTCCTGGACAGCCAGCTGTTTCGTCAACTTAGTTTGGGGTTCTCCGTCAGTACGCACCCCTGCTGTGGGGTTCGAACCCATGACCTTCTAATTACAAGGCGAACTTGTAGACCATTAAGCCACTGGGATGAGGCACTTTACACCAGCTAACTTAGTTATCGAATGAACAAAAATCCACAGACCACTTTTCAGACACTGATGATAACTAGTCACACAGTTATTCGGAACACAGTTGTTTGAGTTATCTCATTGGTGATGCATCAAGTACATTTTTAGAGTTATGTAGTATTTGCTACTTATAATTAGGTATGAGTAGTATGTCAAGTAAAGTGTACGGAAAAACATGGTGAATTTGTGTAATAAATTCAGCGAAAATTTGAGGAGAAAATGATAAAACTCAGAAGAATCCAAATGAAAATAATCAAGGAAGATGACATTATTATTCGCAAGTTGTGCGATCAATGGACGGTTCATATAATTTTCAAAATGTAAATTTTCTATAGCTTGGTTTGTAAGGGTTAGTTTTATTTTTACGAGTTGATCACGGATTGATATCAGATTAATACCAAGCTATAGAAAATTAATCTGATGCTCGCTAGTGGCTTTTTACCGGATGGAGTTTCGTGGAGTTCTATTGAGAAGTTGTGACCAGTGAGGTCCATCCAAATGTCACGTGTGAGGATGGATGTCCCACCTACGACAATGGTTGGGTTCGCGCTACATCACGAATTGGTAGAAGTTAGATTTCATGGACTGGCCATTGAATCGGGTCCCAGTGGCTGAATGGTATACAAGCCAGCTCGCCTTGTAACCAGGAGGTCCTGGGTTCGAACCCCAGTAGGTGCTTACCACCGATAATTTCCAAACTAAGATGAAACAGCAGCTGTCCCGTACTCCCTGGTTTTCAATGGTCCTCTAGCTGATATCAATCCGTGATCAACTCGCGAAAATGTAAATTGTATTTTATCACAAAAAGCCTCACTTCTGGCCACACATGTATAGTTTACTTTAGATACACTTTACTCTACTGTGCTAAACATGAAAAATAAACAGTCACCTATGAGTAAAGATAAACATTCTCACTTTAGAAATTCAACACAACTAAACATTGTCAAGAGTGATCAAAGTGTTTTTGAAAGAAATTTCATAGAAGAAAATATCCCTTTTTGTTTGCAATGTCTCTTAGATCTCATTATGGACAATTCTAAAGCCTCCAATAACTATAAAAAACTCTACTTTAATGTCCAAACATTTTACCCGGGGAAAGTAGTTTTGTTGTCATTGTTTTAATGTACATATTTTGAGTAGTCTTGCGCTCTATTGTATTTTGGCCTATTGATGAGTAGAACTGACAGGTGTTTGTTTTTCATGATTAAGATTCACTTACCAGCAGTGTGTATAAAATAAGTTACTATTCTGTTGAACACTCAGTATTGATAGACTCGTAGTTTTATTAAAACTGACTTTTTTATTAGAAGATAAATAACACGTTTTCTAGGAAACTTAAAGAAAAATGATGAATATTTGAATTTTGGTTGTGGAGAGAGAGATTTTGATCAATTTTATGATTAATTTCGTAGCAATTTAAAGCCAGATAGAAAACAATTGAAAACTGAAAGGTATTGGACACATGTTTCGCCCTAGATTAGGACGCATCAGTTGTATGCATTTAGTTGTAAGTACTTCATGTGCATACGAATCCAGCTCAAAATAGCTGAGTTTATAAACACACATAGTGTTTTTATACACCAAAATTCACCTTAGTAATTGTACGATTTTACTACATACTGACACTTAGGGTTATTTCGAAAACAGGAAGTTTTTATTTAGGAATTCCACTGTCTTTCCTTAGAATGGTATTTTTAAATCCCTAGTAAAATTCTTGCCAATTCTTTGATATATAGGTTAAAACAGCATGTTTACATTATCATAAGTTAGTTAACATATTAGGAATTAAGAAAGAACACTGTCACTTAATTAAAGTAACCCTATTCAAAGACATAAAGATGAGGCAATTTTATAATTAGCTGTGCCTTTAGCTTATTTAATTATGCGGCCATAACAATTTTCGTAAAATAACTTAAAACCTACTTAACCACTAGTCTTATGAAACTTAAGTAAAATGCGTCTTGTTATGCTAAAAGGTAATAGTCTGTTGCTTACAGTTATGAAGATTAGAAAAGCTTACTGTATCTCATCTGCCAAGGTTGACATAAGTAAGTAAATTTGGACATGGGTAAGGGGGTATAAAATAGGTTATGTGCTGTAATCATTTGTAAAAGGCTGAAGTTTGTGGTACAGCACGTGCTTGACATTTCGATAACGGTATGGTGGGCTGCGTAAAATGTTTGATTTATTACGCACTTTACGTGAACCAGAGTGCAACATATTGCATCATCGTCGAGCATAGAATGGAATGGTGGCCAACCCTCTACCTCAGTTTTATTAATTTTGGAAAAGGCTTAAACATAGACGACCGTGATGTAATCTGGCGACTACTTCAACATTATGGCGTGTAGTGCACGCACCGGATGTTTATAAATCTTATTCAAAAGTCACAGGATGATGCCGTATAATAAATAATTCACAACAGAAATCACACCAAAGCGTTTCAAGGGAAGAAAAGAATAAGATAAAACCGAGTGCCTAACAAATATCTAGAAGGAAATGAGGATGGATTCGCATACATCAAGGAGACCACTGAGTGACATCAAATGCCAGATCATAGAATAGAAATTTAATAGTCAGCAACGGATTTAGCGTTGAAAGTTCACATGAGAAGAGAGAAAGGAAAGCTTGTGGAAAGTCACCGTACCCGATGAAAGTTATTGCACAGAACCGCATGAATTGGAGATCTGCTGTTGAATTCCTTTAATTGGGAACATAAGGAATAAACAAAATAACAAAAATTAATATTTGTTTTAGTTTTCTGTTTTAAAACGCTCTCTTTTGTAGTTTGGAGTTAATACAGGAGTCAGACAAGGTTACTTATTATCACCAATGATATTCGTAATTGTAGTGGACTAGATTATGCGTCAGACAGTGGGAAATGAGGAGACAGGAATATCCTGGACCGACGTGAAGAACCTAGAAGACCTGGATTTCGCGCGTGGATGATTTATGTTTGATGTCACACACACAAAATCGAAGACTTACAAGCGAAAACCGACAAACTGGTTGAAGAAGCAGCCGGCGAAGACAGGACTCCAAGTGAACATAGACAAGACGGAGGTTATGAAAATAACCAACCAACCAACAACAGCAGCAACAACATCCAGCGTCAATCACCATCAACGAGAGGGATTTGAAAGAGGTCATTTCATTCACTTATCGAGCATTGAGAATTGTCTCAACTACAGGCAGTCGGAACGGACGAGGATGTCAAATCGAGCGAGAATCGGGAAGGCGAGAAACACATTCACTCATCAATCTGAAACCAATATGGAAATCTTCGTCACTCAGCCAGCATCAACAACAAAATTCGGTCGGATTTTCAATACAAACGTCAAGTCAGTCAGTTCTTCTATACGGATCAGAAACTTGGTGGGCGGGTCACAAAGAATATTTCCAACAGCCTGTTGCAGACGTTACCTTCATCAACAACTGTCTTCGCTGGATCTATACTGAAGATCAGATGGCCGGCCGGGCCGGAAAGAATCACTAACAAGAAACTATGGCTGGGAACAAACAAAGCAAGAAGCAATCACCAACCAACAAATATGCAGGAGAAGGTGGAGATGGATCGGACACTCACTGAGGAGGCCGCTACGTGACATCGGGCGCACGTCAGGCCTTTGCTCGAGTGGAAGCCGAAAGGGAAGCGGCTAGTAGGACGTCGGTGCAATGGTGACATGGAGGAGACCGTGTGAAGAGGAGTTGAAAGAGTATGGACTAGCATGGATGCAGATGAAAAGTACAGCAGAAGACAGAAGCAAGTGGAGACGTACAGTTGAAGCCCTACGTTCCACTAGGAACCCAAGGGATCAATGATAATAATTTGTTTTAGTTTTCTCTTTTAAAACCCTCTCTTTTTTAGTTCTGGGTGAACTTATTTCCTTAAGGTAGATCGTACACTTTAAAGGTGAATGTCCTCAACACCGATTCACAAACATTTAATGAAATATGTTTTCCTCCACTCCGTTGCCAAATAATTCATTACTGTCTACTGTAACAGCTGTGTATTGATTGGGTAATCGTAGATGTACTGCCTACCGGATTTCTCTTGTGTTGCATTGGCTAGTAACTCTTTTCTGCTTAGCAGTACCACCAAAAATGCTTTTGATTTGCACTTTTTCCCTCAAATGTTAGGTTTATACGATTTTTTATGCAAAGTTGAGTTTTCGGTAAATATGTCAGATTTTCGTTGTCATCGAATGCTACAGTCATTTGGTCAACAAACCATCCATAAAGTAACTTTAGCACTCAAATCACAAGTTAAATTTTTGACGCATGGCATATGTGTCATCCATTACTGTTCGTAAAGCATGTGCTACACAAGAGCTATCCATTTGCTGAGAGATTTTTTCTCCAAATGTAGAATGAATAGCGTAGAAACAACATTAGCCGTTGTGACTGCAGTGAAATAGTGATTCATTTAGCGCTGCAGTAGTAATTATGGGGCCTATGATTAGAATGCTTATGCAAAACAGATTTTTTCTTATCCTCCAATTATTATTTGTTCACAAAATAAGCCATTTATGAAGACATATAGTCAACCAAACATTTGTAAAATTTCGGCGAAACTGGAATGAGTAGTTCCAACGTTTCGTTCGGCAATCTGGGAAATTAATCAAGATTAACATAACAGAGGTTTATGTATAAAAGGAACATCTCTTGTCCCTGAAAAAGTTCGGACCATATTGCCAAACTGAGATTTTACAAATATATTTTTTACAAATGTATACTTCTCACTTGGCGCTCAATTATTTTGCAACTATCCGGTCGAATCTGATTCACAGTTCACATGATATAGTCAACTAGCTGTATATGTCCATGTCAACAGCCTACTCACGTGAATCAGTTCCACACAAAAGTCAATTTATAGATAGCCTATCGGAAAAGTATATTACCATGCTACTTGATCCCAGGTTTGATCATTCGTAAGTGAATATTCAATCTTCAAATCCATTCGAAAATATTTTCAGCCCATTCACACAGACTTAATTGTAATAGCCATGATTCATATCCCAAACGACTATGTATATTTGTTGTATCTAAAATAATAAATGGCATAAAGAGAATTTTAGAAACTAAAACTCAATTGCTGCTAATATCTAAAGTAGTTTAACACTTTATCTCTAGGGAAATACAAAAGTGAGATTTCAGAGAATGTACAGGCTAAATAATTTTTAGATTTGAAATTTCTTTAATATGAAACTATCAACTTCTGTCATACTCTGGTTAATTCAAACCAAAAGAATTTCTATTCACTGTTATTGTGTAGTGTAGAACTTGAAGCCCATGAGTATTTAAAAATTTTTCATAATTTGTAATTTATACTTCGAATATTCAAATTTATGATTGGGTCCAAAAGAAGAACTGAGAAATATTATTTAAATAGCCGACTGTAAATGAAAAATTAATATCAGAATTTTGTTTTAATCTTCCTGTGATAGCAATAAAATAAAGTAGATTAATGTCAACCATGAATAGCTATAAATTTTATTACCCTATTTGACTATTCTCTGTGATCCAGTATATAACGGTTATGCCTACTAGAATAATATTCATGTATTCAGCTTATAATCATGTTTCTTTGACAGAAAAAGTATTCCGCGGAATATTTGAATAAAGTCTCAAGATTTATGAGAAAACTTTTAATTTTTTTAAAACAAAGAACGTTAAACTTAATGCCTACAGATTCAATAAGATAAGTTCTCGAACAGTGAATATATTCGCTGTCAGAGTATGAACACTGGAGAAGTGATCAACACTGTACACGTCTGGAGCACCCAAAAACTAAAGAAAGCCCAGAAGATTAGTTTTGGTTCTAAATAAGAACAGGAAGGGACAAAGTAAATAATGAATATTCTAAGATTTCATTTGCATGCTTTTTGGATCTTCAAAGCAGTTTCGTTAAAGTGACAAAGTGAGCAGTAGTATTCTGCTTTGGTATTTAGAAACAGAAAACTAGAATTCAAACTACATTCATTAACACTTGCCCGAAAGAATAATTTAGAAGACCTTTTAGGACCTCTCAACACCATAAAAACATTGGCTACCAACATTACTGGTTTTGTTAGCGTTCGGAAAGACTTCGTAAGCTTCTGTTGTAATAGAATGGTGGAAAAACGATTGAACCCGTCTCTTATCATATCACATCATGATCCCAAACACCTTTTTATAATATCTACTTTCTTGAGCAGACTCATTATTTCTTCTTTTTCGTATTTACCATTAGGTGATCGCATATGATTCAGGTGAACCCAATTTATCAGCTTCCACAAACATTCACGTCATTTTGGATGATATTAACGACTGTGTACCAACCTTTTCTCAACCAGAATACAATTTCACAATAGATGAAGATTTTATGCAAAATTATACGGCATCACGAATTATTGGTCTGGTGGCAGCAACAGATTGTGATATAGGATTAAATGGCATGTTAATTTATTCTATCCTTGATCCTGGCTTACCTTTTGAAGTAAGTTTCAAATAAACCACATTTTCATTTGGCACATGAGTGAACTAAAAATAATTATGTTAACTCAGTGAGAAAAGTAAATTTTCCACATACTTAATCATAATTTTATTCATCCTAATCTGGCTCTCTTTTTAATGACAAGTAGTTTCCGTTTTGTGTTTTTAGAGTTGCCATCCATGTACATAACTGATAACATATACTCTTTTATACAAACATGCTACATGTTTCTATTTTAAAACGTTTATTCCAGCATTGGAGAATCACATGGTTGTACTGTAACATTCATTCACATCATATAAAAGGGCATCTCTTCAGTTACTCGGCTTTAGAATGTACAGTCCTAAGAATAATAACAGTAACTTTTATCTCAGAAGTGCGTTTATTCACAATACATAATTTCATGTGTATTGCAAAGTTTTCATTTCTTGTACAGAATCTTAAACAAGGTTACCAATCAATAAAAAAATTATTTGAAGTAATTCCGCTCCATGCTAAGCAAGCTACGATATTCCACAATGATATGCCTCCATTTCCTTCCAAAAATTCCTGGCAGTTGGTTGAAGCCTATTTGATAGTAGATGTGACAATAGGCTGCTATTCAAGTACGCAAATGAGTGATTAAAAAAGCATAAAGTGCGGACAAATGTGACGCATTTTTGGGAATGAGAAATAAGGCTTAGTTTAACAAATATACAAAAACATTTTTACTACTAATTACTACTCACAACGGAATCTATTATGCTTCTCCCGGCTAATTTTCCGATAAGAATACGACAAAAATGGAAATTATTCAACAACACTGAATTACAATAGAAGTTATAAAGACAAGAATAGTACTTTCATTAATTATTTCATTTTTCCAGATAAATCTGAGACGTTTTAAGTTAACTCAGTGGCATTTCCTTTCAATTTAAAATAAATGTTGATTGATTTTCATTTTTAAGTCTGTACTACTTACCTAGGTACTGGCGACTAATTACACATAATTCTAAGTTCATTTTTCTTGCTTTCCTCTTAACTGATAAACACCTATATACACCTATACACCTTACAATAATCTTAAAACTTACATCAGTATTCTTATTGTCCGGAATTATCAACCGTATTCACATAACAGTTGAATAATGAAGGCGTTTATGAGTATGTCTGACTGATTGTAAATAATATTCCACATTTTGAAATAATAGAGAAGATTTATAGCTTAGGGGATGATTTGAAATTAATAGTGTTCTCTGAGCTGGTTGGTTTAGTTGCGGAGCTTTCGTCGTCCTTCTGGACAACACTTTCAGCGCAATGTTTAGCATAAAGTGAAATGATTTAAATTTTTCATGAGTGATATAATTGTGTCTCCCGGTAACCATCTTCACATAGGTACTGATCATTTTCTATTCAATTGTATTTTAAACTTTCTGGTCAAATGATTTACTTTTTATTAGTTGGTATATTGCGTCTATATTAACTTGTTTGTTAATTGCATATTCGTTTAAGCACCAGGCTTCTAGGAATTCCCTGGCACTTTACGTGTTCCCTCTGTCTAAGATTTCGAAATTATCCCAATCAAATTGATGTCCATAATTGTCTATGTGCACTGGTATGAAAGAATATATATGGTGTCTTTTCATGGCTGATTTTTGTTCCTGGATTCTAATTCTAAGAGGACGCCCACTTCGACCTATTCGAACACAAATCAGCCATGAAAAGACACGATATATATTCTTTCATAATAATGCATATAGACAATTATGGATATCAGTTTGATTGGGATATTATCGCAATCTTAAACAGAGGAAACACGAAAAGTGCCAGGGAATCTCTAGAAGCCTGGCACTCAAACGAGTATGCAGTTAACAAACACGCTAATATAGACCAAATATAAAAACTAATAAAAAGTAAATCATTTAACCAGAAAGTTTAAAATCCAATTTAATAGAAAATCATCAATAGATATTTAAAGAAAGCTCCGCAACTAAACCAACCAGCTCACACTACACTATCAGTTGCAAATATTCCACATTATTTTTTATAACTTGCGTCGGTGGCATAGCGGTTAGGACGCTCGCCGACCATGCACATGGTTGCTGAACTTGTAGTAAAGGTTTTCATCGGATGAGATTGAGTATTTTGAAAAGTTGAAAGACACATTGACTCCATTTTACTAGATAGATTGGGAGAACCATATGAATTCTGAGAAACATAAGTATTCAAACTTCTGCAAACAGTCTTGATATGTCCAACTTTACCACATTTATGGCACTTAGCACTCCGAAAACGGCAAGTGCTTCGTAGATGTAACTTTCCACAGGATAAACACGGTTTAATGTTTTTGATCTCTCGCTGCATTCTGTTACCTGTGGACGGCAGTTTGGATTGCTTTCCATGACCACTTGTATTTTCGACTTTAGAAAGCATGACATCAGATACTGACGTAGTGGGAACAGAGTATTCATTATTGACATCTTCATATGTAATACATAAATCCTTAGCAGTTTGAAAGGTACAGGAAGGAATCTGAATTAACTCTTTCTCTAACTTAGGAATATTGATTCCAGCAATTAGACGATCACGTAGTTGAGTATGCAGCTGATCTCCAAAGTTGCACTTTGAAGCTCGTATTTGAAGTTGAAGAATGAAGTCTCTTATCTTCTGGTTGGGAGCACGAACCATTTTATGGAATTGAGCCCTCTCTCTGGTCTCAAATGTAGTTACATGAAAGTGATTTATCAGAAGTTCACGAATCTTGACATATGACAGAGAAATAGGTTTATCTGGAAACTCCAGATTCTTCACTAGGCTATATGTATCTAGCCCAATAGCAGCGATGAATTGTGCTGGAATTTTGTCATCCCGAACATTCTTTGAAATGCACCAAGCATCGAAGCATTCAAGGTAATCAGTAATCTCCCGCGGAGAACCATTTATAGGAAATTTTCCAAGGTTATTTAGTTCCATCGCGACGCCAAATTGTTGTAGTTTTTTGTAATAGTAGTATTAGTATTTCGAGATGACCGAATTACACGAATCCAACCAAAACACAGAGAGGGATGAATTCAGAAAATTGTATTTAGTGGAATTATAATGCAATTCATATAAGAAACATATTAACAATCAACAGTAAGTATTTCAACAATACAGAGATAGAAATTATCAATCACCACAATTTTCTATGCCTTAGAAATAAATGGATGACAGATTTTCCAGTTAACATAAGATCTGATTTCCTAATTTGCTTCCTGAGCTGGTATTTACTGCACACAGATTACACAATCATAGATCTTAAGGGATTTCACCTCAATAATTTCAAACGTTTTACATTTATATATTTGGTAAATATATGTGTTTAGCGAAATACTAGGCGATCAGTCATTTCAATAGAGAGGGTTTGTTGAGACCACTTTAGACATAATACCTGACGAGTATACAAGTGTCATTGGAAGAGCTAGAGTTGACTTTTCAATCCCATTAGTTAAGATTACAGCTTCAGTGCTTAATGCTTTGGTAAATTATTGTGTAGCTTTAGACCATTCGTAGGTTATATGAGTGAAATGATCGTATTAATATGGCTTACACTGAAACTATATTCTACAAGCGGTTATTTTTGGAATATCTAGTATTTGTTATAAGATCATTTCTTTTACCGTCTCTTTCCAAAAATCTTTCGATGTTTCGAACAAAAATATATATGACTCATTGTGCAGAAAACTAACACAGTAACAAGTGCAAAATTATCTCTAAACAGTCCCATGTAATGTATCCACGTTCTTCACAAGTAACTACGTCCACCACTGTACGCATATATGTGTTCCTGGGACTGATTAGAATAAGCCTTTGACAACTGCCGTTATAAATTTTTAGAATTTTTACAGGTACAGTCTGTCTTCATCTGAATCCATAAAGTATATTTCACACAAAATATTTTGGTGTACGAAATAAATTGTATTTGTATTTGGTGTCAGTGTATTGACTGGTAACAAGAGATCTCTCGACAAACCCTTTTGTCGTCACTTTACTTGTGTCATGCAAGTTTTAAAGCATAAACTCTAGCCAATGAATTCAATTTTTGGGTGTATTCCATTATACTAAAGCTCACTTTCAAGTCTATAAACGTGTACATTCACTTTGCTCTAATATTCACCATTCATAATCATTCAAAAAAATCCTTATCAGTTAACGTGGGGTCAGAAAATATGAAACTCACAGAGAAGAGAGATTAATTTCTATTTAATTGTCCCTGAAACAGATCATCGATTTCCAAAATCCTTTATTCATTTATGCTTAGTCAACAATTTGTAATTCAAAAAAGTATGCATTTTTCATTCAAAACAAGTGATATTCACGCATTCTGAATTGTAATATCTTAAGTTCGACTGTTCTGTATTCTGATCGCTGGTATAGCACTTTCTTTCAGAAAATGATAACACTCTGAGTTGATTATTTATTCAACGCTGAAGCATTTTTCATACTGATCCTCAAGCTAGGCATAACGACACTGTTTGCAAAATAACTTCATTTCGTTGTTTTATTCAGAACTAGTGACAGCTGTTGAAGTTATAATTACAAAACTGCCAAGGTATACTCCTTTTTTTACTTCAAAGTTATACACAGTCAACCAATAGAACATTTACAACAAATTTTTACCCTAGTCACGAGATATTTTTTTATTTTAATACCTACCGGGAGCTGGCACGAAATACTGCAATATTTTTTCGTCAAATAAAATATTTTCTCTCTTTTTCTCTATCTCTCTCTGACACCAGAAGAAGGAATAAGTTCAATAAAAATTCTTACCACTATACCACTAAACCTTTCTCCATTAATTTTGACGGCATTTGAAGGTACCAACATCAAAATAATTGTCAGCTTCTGATCTTCATAAAATGATAAAATTATATTTTTCATCAGTACAGAAAGAAATTATATGGATTTGATTACCTTTTGAGGCTAGTGGGAATCACGAATGGTTGTTTTAAATATTCGACTGAGTTACTACTGATTAATCATCC